TTCAGGAAACAAGAGGCACAGGCATAAAGCAACTTGCACAAATTTACACATCCAGGCACTGACTCAGTAGGAAACAGAATGCAGGTCTGCAAGGCAGCTGGGAAAGTTTTTGGCCAGGCTGCCTCGCCTGTCCCACTATAATAAACATAGCGAGGTGCTGATATTGGGAAAAGCTATGGCTTGACAAAAGGAAAAGTAGCAGCAGTGTCTCTGAGTAGCCCCCAGCTGTTACAGAGTGGACCAAACAGAGCAGCAGCACTAGAGCAACTTCATTTCCTTCAATCTGAGCTACTGCTGGAGATGATTTTAAACTTCCTTTCTCTACAACGTGCTGTCTCAGGGTGTGTTTCTCCCTCTTATCTCTTCTTTCTTCTATTCCTTTTCTATCTAGTGCCTGAAAAGTGTCCTGAGGGTTTGACAGTTTCTGTTTAATCATTTCAGCCTTCTGTATGGAAGGCTGTCGAGCACCATACAGTGAAGTTACTACCAGCCTGGGATTTCTGAGTATCTGTCTGCCCTCTTATCTGCTTTGGTGCCAGACTCCTGATATCTCACTCTCCGCCACCCCTCACTCTGTTACTGTGATGCTGTAACAAATAAAAGTTCTAAATAACTCCCTTTGCTGGGGGAGAGGGGAGAGGGTAAAGGCTACATACTGCCAACATACAAAAAAAGGCAGAGAAAATTGTTTCCTGAGGTTTTCTTTTAGCTCCCAGGGTACTACGGGTATATTCATTAAAACCAGCATTAAGTTACAGATGGGGAGAAGGACTAGCAGACAACCATCTTATTTAGCCTTGGAGCAAACAGTTCAATTCCCAGCTTGCTGCCTTTTGCAACTCACAATCTGCTACGAGAGTCCACAAGTAAAGACTGGCTATACTTTCTGTCTTCCACAAAACCAGACTCTTTAAATAAATTAAATAAATCTGTTCATGTCTGGTCAAATGCTCAGAAGCGATGAAATTTCCAACTTTTGGTTGTCCTATGATTTCCATAAAACAAAGTAGGGCCCAAGCATTGGATAAGACATAAGTAAAGCAAAGAATTATCGTCACTCATCGGCTCAGTCAGTTTGCTCCAAACTAAGGTTTGTGAGCGATTTATTTTTCCCTTAGGTATCTAAACGTTAACTATTCTGTGAATTATTCAGAACGAACCCAAAGTTCATTTTGGGAATCCTGGGTGAATCAAAACATTTCCATGACTTCTTTTAATATCACTAAGCACTCAAACCCTGACTGTGTGAAAGGATATTAAGCAAACACTGAGCAAAGCAGAGCATGAGCACAGATGTGCACACCTCCCCAGAACAGCCCCATGGTGACTGCAAATGAACTTCATTTCAAAACTATTAAAAAGATGACACACGGTAAAGTTCCACTGTCCATACGCCCATGGCAGCTCTTCTGTGCACTCACCTTCCACATACGTCTCAAAAATGACAGTATCTGTTTTCTGAATACTCCCCTCTGTCATGACAAACAAACCAACATATCTGGCCAAAACTGTAGGAGGAAAGGGGCACTAAAAGCTGGTTGTATAAAGCAATCTAAGTGTAATCTGATCTACAGATTTTTGCTCTGTACGCATATCTATAGGCAGAGACATTCACAGGTATTTTGCAGAAACATCCAGATATCTGGAAAAGCAACAGTGTTGTATCTGCTCTTCTGTCACTAGACCCTGCAAAAGATTCTGTGAGCAACAGCCAAGCTGGCTGATGATGTTGAGGAACCATCCATCTTCTCCTGTTGTAGTCATGGCCACCCTTTGATAGAAAGCTGCAGGCTCTGTAGATCAAATATGCTTCTGGCAGAAGATTAAGAAAACATGCTCTTCAGACTCAAAAAGCAGAGTTAAATAGTAAGTGGTGTTCTAACAGTCCGACTATACTATGGCCACGAAGTTACTTAAGTTAATCACACAGGACTGATGTGAGGCCAGCTGGAAACTTTCCACATCTTCCCTCCACCACTAGAATACCAAAAGCTTTTCTGTACACTCCAGATTGCACCTCTAAATATTTTCGGCATTCATCTAAAGTATGGCTGGTAGCAATCACAAAGTTTTAGGAATTATGCTCTCTCTCTCCAGACTCAGACTGCCAGTCAGCATTAGAGATCACTGTTGTCAGTCATTTCCAAACATGCTGGGAGTCTGCAAATAGAAACATTAACAATGGGATTTCACTGATGCAGGTTACATGCTTTCAGAAGAGAAACAGCAGTTGCTGGCAGTGGGGAAATACTGCAGAACTACTTATCCCCTAATTAAACAAGGTACTGTACTCTAAGCGCTGAATGCTAAGCAGTGCTCTAGCATGTGCTCATCTTAACCCTACAGAATTATGCTGAATTACTAAGACTCCATCTGAGCATTTCTTAGCCAAGACTCCTTGTATAAACAGATGGAGCAGTCCTGCTGTTTCTATGATGACACATTCAGACTACAAAAGTACAGGATTAAGATCAAATTTATCATAAAAACACTTTAGATAGGGCAATGTAAACGTTATATCGTTCTCAAGTATGACAAACAGAAAGACAAGACTCTCTATGTTGTGTTTAAAATAGACAAACAGTAGCTGAAACAGTTGGTAAAAAAATATTGATTTACAGCTCCATAGAGCTGCTGAGGCCAGAGTAGGACAGCCAACCCCAAAGATCTTTATATTCCCTTGAAGGAGGAGATGATCCTCACTACATGGATCTCCCAGGACACATCAATGCATCATGTGACTCCCAAAGGCACTGCAGGCACCAAGTATCACCATACCAAAAAGGTAATCTAGTTATGAGCTGAATATCGAAATCCATAAAGAAGTGATGAACGCTAGTAGAGATGATGCTGTGATATTGCTTTGAGGAGTTGTCTATGAGGGAACACTCACAATGACAGACTATGCCAGACTTAGATTGCTCTTCTCTCTCTGAAGCAACGCAAAGTGGTTGGAACAGAATCCAGGATTGGAGCCAAATTAGATTTGGCTTTTGAATGTAAACTGATGACAGACTTCAATATTAAGCATTATTAATATTGCTAGAACATTTTGAGGGGAGACTACCCAGAATCCAAATAGGACATAAAGAGAAAAAGATCACTGACAATGATACGTAACAGTCAGTGCAAATCATAGAATCATAGAATGTACTGGGTTGGAAGGGACCTTTAAAGACCACCCAGTCCAACCCTGCAGTCAGCAGGGACACTGTTACCAGATTGCGTTGCTCAGAGCCCCATCAGCCTGACCTTGACCATCTCCAGGGACGGGGCCTGCACCACCTCTCTGGGCAACCTGTGCCAGTGATCTGCCACCCTCATGTTGAAGAACTTTTTCCTAATATCCAACCTAAATCTATCTTTTTCTAGTGTAACACTATTACCCCTTGTCCTGTTGCTACATCTCATTGTGAACAGCTCTTCCCCAGCTTTCTTATAGGCACTTTTCAGGTATATACACATATATACACACATCTCTAAATCCTACTCATGAGACTGGATTTCCCCAAATTGTAACTTCCATAGAATATCTCCCCTCCAAGACCTTGAAGGGATGCTTTTCTAAGAAATCTAGTATAAAACTTCAGAATATGATTCTCAGTCAGATCTTCACACATAAGCCAATCCCCTGAAGTTTAACTCCAGACCTCCTGTCAAAGATGTCTCAAACTCCCCTGTGGTTTCAGTAACTTTTAACTGGAGAATGATAATTCCGATTTTTTAAACTGCACCTAAGATTTCAAAACCTGCAGTGAAAACAAAATCATTTGAGCATTCTTGTGAATGCATCTGAAGGAGCAACCCTTGCTAGTTTGAGACACAAGACACCCAAGTGCCTAGCTCTAGAGTTTTCCTACTCTGAATTTGGCAGTGCCTGGTCCTAAACTCACAGTTCTACCATGTATGACCTTGTTAAAATTTAACTTTGTGAAGAAACAGCTTTAAATAAAATTAAATTCCATTTCAGTGTTCTCTGTCATTACACATTCTGGTACTTTCTCTCCTGCTGGCAATCTATATTCACAATGTGTGATGCTTAGAGTGCAGATCAAAACCTTTCCTCAGCCATGGACTTTCAGAAGTTTGTTCAACCTTTCCCCTAAAGCTATTTTTTTTTTAAATGGAAGAGTTAAGTTATAAAGTTGGAAATGTAATTAGAATGCTGGCAGGTGAAAGTCTAAATACCAAAACAAGACAATAGATCAGTTATTTTTATCATGGCTTCTTTACACTTTCTTGAAATTATATGTCTGTAAAGGTACCAGGCTTAATTGTCTGGTAAGTCAGAGTCTTGCCTGTCTCTCTCCTAAATGCCATGACACAGAAATGAAGGCTATTTCACATTTCCTCTTGTTACTTCCACAGGTGTGAAGTAAACAATTCAACCAATTTGTGACGCATTTTTCCCCATAAGATGAGGTTAGTTTTACACTGAAATTCAGAAGTGGAAAAGAAAGGACATGGCATTCAGGGGACAGAGTGGAATTACTACCACATAGAGATAGAGTGTAAAATAGGTGTTGCCATCTGTGTGCAGATGTTTATACAGTTTAACACATAACAATATCAGATAAGCAGACCTATATAAAAATTTAAATTCTGCAGCACATAGTTCATTCCTGTGTTCTTAGACTTGGCGTGAACATAAAGGTTCTGTAAATTCTATATCATGCATTTTGACAAAGATTTTCAGTTTTAACCAAACTGTGGCTATCCAGCATAACGAACAACAGAAGAATGAGCCAATTTTGATACTTGGGCTCTTTGAATCCATTCTTTATGACTGTTTAACATTTATACCTGAAGATGTGATACATATTTGAAAAACTGGGAAAAATGTGATTTAAGTTAAACTAATTGTTAAAACATTATGGCAATATCAGGGTTGAAGACTAATTTTGATCTCTCTGCTAGCAGTAAACTGCTTACAGTCCTAGATGGCACATGTAAATAGCATCCCCTTGGCACTTTGTTCTAGTGCATAGTATTTATCTTACCTTTAATGCTCCATGTTTTTCATTCGCTCCAACAATCAAAATTTCTGCCAAATCCTCAGCATGCTCAGTCCGCGCATGGACAAACAAAGCTCTGCCAGCTTCTGATACATTCTTTAGTGCAACTAAAGACCCGTCGCGTTCCACCTTAAAGTCTGGGTTAGAAACTTCGAAGTTCAATTTGTTATTTCCCTTGCAGTCATCAAATTCCACTGTGGAAAAAAAGAAGACACACAATTATAAGTATCCACTTTGGAACACAAACTTCAAACCTCTTTACATTATTAGCTTGTTCACAGATCTCGGGAGGAAATGTCTCCCAGCCTGAGGGGAAAAACTTTCAGAGAAGCTTTATGTGACTATAATTCATCAATAAATCTTATGAATATGCACTTTCATAAGGATGAAGAGATTTTGACCATGCTAATTGTGAGGTAGGAGATAAACTAAACACTTTAGACATACACATTTTGTGTTCAATTCAATAAAATGCACAAATGCATATTTTGTCCTACAAATTGGGCAGTAACAGTAGAGACCTTGTTATCCTCCACATCATAACTTGGGACGTCTAAAGGCTCTTCTAATGGCAAAGTGGTTCCAGATATCCAGAAAATCTGTATGCTTGGAATTCATTGCTTACAAAATCACAGAATCACAGAATATGAGGAGTTGGAAGGGACCTCGAAAGCTCATCCAGTCCAACCCCCCTGCCAGAGCAGGATCACCAGACCAGGTCACACAGGAACACGGCCAGGCGGGTTTTGAATGTCTGCAGAGAAGGTGACTCCACAACCTCTCTGGGCAGCCTGGGCCATGCTCTGGCACCCTCACACTGACAAAGTTTGTCCTCATCTTCAGCTTGAACCTCAGGTGCTCCAGCTTGCTCCCATTGCCCCTTGTCCTGGCATTGGACATCACAGAGCAAAGCCTGGCTCCTTCCTCCTGACACTCGCCCTTTACAAATTGATCCCCATGAATGAGGTCACCCCTCAGTCTCCTCTGCTCCAAGCCCCAGCTCCCTCAGCCGCTCCTCATAAGGGAGATGCTCCACTCCCTCTATCATCTTTTTTTTTTTTAAATATTCAACCTCATAGTCTGCTGCAAAAGAATCACCGAACAGCCAAACCAAACTATAACATTTCTTACTAACTGCCAGGATTGTGATATAGTACATGAGTTGCACTATCAGTGTAGCTAGGGATTATAAGAAATTTTAATTAAACAGTAGCTGTCAATAATCCTGTTTCACTTTACATGGAAGTTTCAAAATATTTTGGAAGGCTGTCATAAAGAGAAATATATTTCTCAAGTTACAAAGGTTTGAGACGTTGCCTCAAGTTCCTTCTCTAAGTCCGGTAGATTCACTTCGCACAAAGTAGTGGAAAAATATCAGTGGTGTAACTATCAGCTACACGATTAAAAGGTCTTCACAACAGACTTTCAATTGCTAAGTAAACTTGTCATGTTTCAACATCTGTGAACAACATATGTGCATGTGCGCATGTTCTATATTCCCTACGTGCTCCCTGAGTTACTGCTGCTGTAGACTTCTCACTTATCTGCATGCTCTCACTACTTTGATTTTACATTTCATTTCTATTGGATCTTTAAAAACTGTTGCTGGTTACAGAATTCAAATGCAACTTCCTTTTTTTACAGATATTGATGAGAAAGTTTAATTTAAAAACTAACCAAGAGGAAAAAATCTCAAATGTCCAAAATTCGGAATAAGGCACAGACATGTGCCACTGTTTGTCAAATCAACAGTGGTGGGTTGGCCTTGAGCTGCACCCAGACACCCACCCAGTCACTTTGTCACTCTCCTGCCTCAACAGGCTGAGGGAGAAAATCAGATTAAAAAGCTTATGGGTCAAGATAAAGACAGGGAATTCATTTACCAATTGCTGTCACAGGCCAAACAGATTGGACTTGGGGAAAGTTAATTTAATTAATTGCCAATTAAAATAGATTTGGATGGTGAGAAAAAGGCAAAATGAAAACCACACCAGCCCTCTTCCCTCACTTTTCCCCAGGCTCAGCTTCACTCCTCCATTCCCAGCTCCTCTGCCTCCTCTCCCTGAGTGGTGCAGAGGGATGGGGACATGGGGGTTATGGTCAGTACCTAATGGCTCCTCTACAGCTCCTTCCTCCTCACGCTTTTCCCCTGCTCCAGCACAAGACCCCACCATGGGCTGCAGCTGCCTTCACGACAGACTCACCTGCTCCTTTGTGGGGTCCTCCAGGAGCTGCAAGGAACCCCTGCTCCAGGGCCTGGAGCCTTTGTTCTTCTTCCCCCTCTGTGCCTGGGGCTCACACTGCTCTCCCACACTTTTCTCCCCTCACTCCCTGGCAGCGTTTCTGCCCTCTCTTGCGCCCACCTCCCCAGAGGCGCCATCAGCCTCGCGGAGGGGCTCAGCTGTGCCCTGCGGCGGGAACCGCACGGAACTGGCTCTGTCCAGCAGGAGGCAGCCGCTCCTTCACAGGGCCCTGCAGCCCCAGCGCCCGCGGCCCCGTACAGCACAGAGGCATTGAGGGAGCACAGTTGTGATCCTGTGGATTTGCACCTCACTATCTTCTTACTGAGAAGAGTCCAAACTCTACAGTCAGCACAGTCTCTTGCATAAAAATTATCCCAGCACCTGAAGGATCTGCTTCTGCATGAGTTTTAGGCTTGCTTACAACTAAAAGCTGCTCACATTTCCTCTGCTTTACTCAAGGGCAAGAGAGCTGTCCTTGCATTCACAGTGGGAAAACAAACAAGAATTCCATCAGTGCATTTGCCATTGAGATTATAAATAAAAAGGGAAATAAAAGCTCTTCCCCTCGGATACTCCAGTCCCTCCAGACAAACCCACCTTGGTCTGTCACATCGCAGACCTGTGCTTGCAAAATCTTACACTGCGGCAGAAGCAGCAGGGGGGTGGGATCCACAGAATTTGGGAGCAGTTTAAAACAACTTCACAGTGCTCAAACTACGCTGGTGCCTGGGCTGCCCTGAGCCACGACTGCACTCCAAGGCCAGGAGCTGCTCAGAGAAAGGGTCTTGTGCTCACAGGAGGGTTTTGATGGAAGGCTCTCTGTGAGCAAGGCCTCCCTGGTGTAAAACCACTGACATGACAGGCGTTTTTAACAGACTCACTGCAATCTCCTCAAGCTATCAACACACAAAAGAGACAAAATTTCCCTGTCACCACAACTGTGTGATGTTTAAATTCTCTGTACTGATCACTGTATAGATTGCAGCCTTGATGAATTATCAGTGGATTTTCTTTTAACTTATCCTTTTCCTCCCTTTAAAAAAAAAAACAGAACAATCAGACAGTCTTCAGAGGGCACCTTGTTATATTGAGTAAGTAACTCCTTCTCACAGTCAAAATCTGCTGGTGATCCACTGTCAAAGCTCACAACTGCAAAAATTTGGCATCACTCTGAGACATTAATTACATCAGGAGCAAAAAGTGAAAATAAAATAAAAGCCTAACAACTACAATAAATTAATCACTTAAAAACAAATGTCATAGTTCAGAGCTACAGCATCACCTAGCCAAACACTGCAGGTTAACATTCAAAAACAGGCCATGCCATGTTATGCTTCAAGAAGAGGGGTGAAGCTGGCCTGGAGTACACTTCTGCCCCCTTGCTGCTTAGTATTCACAAACCCCAAGATTCTTGCATTGCCTCCACCTGCATGCACTGGAGGATGACCACATGCAGATTTGACACGTGGAATCAGGAGAAGTACTTGGATCTATATTCTGTATTCCCTCAGAGTTATGAATTTGACACTTTTAAACCTTTTACATTTTGTTCATCCATTGACCTTGCCTTATGAAACCCTGCAACTTTTTCCAACAAGGGCAGAAGCAGAGTTGTTTGAAAGTGGGAAACTGTTTTCTTACCGTATCTCATACAAAAGCACTGATGCTTTCAATTCCCGATTCCACCACAGAAACAAGAGTATTTAACAGCAAAGACAGTGAAAGAAAATGAAAAGGTTCTGAGAACTGCTGATATGTAGGAGAGAAATTAGAGGTGGGTAGAAGGAGATGAAGTGATCATAAGGACAGAGAACACTGAAGATTATTTGGACCAAGGGCCAACAGAGATGAAGATCAAGGCAATTATTAAGAGAGTTGAAGAGAACTGTAGCCTTAAATAAAATCCCTTGTCTGAAGTTAGAGTCAAATGTGAACTTTATCAGAATGATGATTCCTTCTGGACTGGGATGATCAGAGAACATCACACAAGATTGCATGGCATTCCCAGTCATCTTCACAACACCCTTCACTGGGAATGTTTGCTTCCTTAAACTCATGTGGCTTCTGGGGAAAAGCCAATCCAGATACCCTAAAGTTACAGTGCTTGAGCTGCCTGTACCAGGCTCCAGTAGCAGCTACATAGCCTAAGGAGCTGGCCCTGGCACTGACCACATGCAGGAGAGGTGTGAGGAGTTTCAGCTTCTGCATCTTTTTCAGATTTCCCCACTAAAACCTCCCATGTCCTCCTGTGCCCTCATTTTGTGTTGAAGCTTAAGGAGTTTAACCAGATTGCAAGCTCTTCAGAGCAAAATCCACTTGTTCACTCTGTGTCTGTACAGCACTTGCAACAAAATGATTCAGATTTGGTGCTCAAGGTGCTACAGAAGTACAAAAAAATTAATAATAGTAACTGTTCAGCTGTACTCCTAAACTAAAATTTTGGTAATGCTGCACCAGACATGACTAATGACTGTGTCTCATTGTCAAGAACTCAATGGGCAATTACAACAATGATCGAATATTTATTTACACAAAGGATGAGTTCTTCACTTATTGATGCATATATGACTCTTTTGATGTTCCTAGTCATGCTCCAGCTGCCAAATGAACATCTTTATTGTGCTTAATATGCCATATGGTATGAGAAGGCTCCAAAACTCCATGCAAGCAAAATGAATATACTGCCAAGCAACTCCCAGTGAAAAACAACATGAATGTCACTCATCGCCCTCTGTTCATTTCTCAGCCTCCTATATTAGATTTCTACTCCTTTCTGTAATAAAGCTCACTCACATGGGAATTCTACAGAATACTTTTGTTCACCAAGCAGTATTCATTATTGGTAATAACCACATGCATCCCAAGGCTTTAATCACTGACTTTGAGCTCATTATCACAAATGGAGTTGGAAACAGGATTCTTGTGCAAGATCCCAACTCCATTACTGTACTGATGGGAAGCTGAAGCTGTGATTGGAAATACTGCACCCCTTACAGATCACAGCAAGACAGCTCAGGTTCACGGGATTCTTCATTTCAGTGCATCTCATTCTGACTGTCAGGATATGCCACATACGTGAGGTTTCTACACAACTGTGATATTTATGATGATGAACCACAGACGTTTCAAAGAATTACGTTTTAAAACATTGAAAGGTTAGCAGTTGGATTTCTTGTAAACTCTATAAAAAGAAAACAGGCTGAAATAGACTTCTTATATTCAAAATCACATTGGGCTGATATACTCCTCTTCCAAAGTAATTTTTAACAAATAACTTTAGACCACACTGAAACCACAAGTCAGAAACCGTACCTGTGAGAGGTCTAGAGATGCAAGAAAAGTAGAGCTGCACAAAGGCAACTTAACTTTCCAGCCCAGCAAGGACCATCAGCTCTGCTAGAAAGTCCTCCCTGCTCAATGGTATTAGCAAAACACAGGAGTTAGACAGAACTGGTAAAGCTAAAGCTGAGCTTCATTAACTACATGGAGAGAAAAATGATGGTTGAAACAAATGGAAACGTTTCCAAGTACTGTCGTTGCATATAAAAATTCATAAAGTACTGTGATGTGGCAAAGCTCTTGTTAGCAACAAACATTGACGCTGACTGAAAAGAGCAGGTGAGTAATGAAGGAGATGGTGCCAGGCCACCACTCGACAGCACTCCTCACACTGCTGGATGTCCAACTCTGGTACGGGGCGTCATGCAGCAGCCCGAGACAAACTAATAGAAATGCAAAGTGTTAGGAGTCTTCAAGAGATGAGTTGTCCTGTCAATGTGGAGAGGATTAAATCTACCTGGAACCAACACACCTGGACAACCTAGATCCATCCAAGAACAACAGAGGAAACTGTCAGAACAGCTATGACAAAGGTACAACATTCTGACAGGAGGAATCACGTTGGTCCCTTCCTGCATTACCTGGCTACCACCAGTAGTCCTAGCAGAGCTGGAAAAACTGCTAACAATTTGAAATTCTGTGCAGTCCACCTGAGCCATAAGAGATGCCACACTTAAGGGCCTTTGGGTGATGGGTACGATGTGTGATTCCAGAGTGAGTGACTTCCTCTCCACTGCTCAGCCTCTCTTCCTCACTTTTTGCTGTACCAAACACTGTACTCTGGCTTCTTTCCACATCTCGCCAAGCTCTCTGCCTCTCTTCTCCTAGCACATCACCATATCACTTGGCTAGATGTGAGTATGGCATCAGGTACCCTGAGCTAGAGCCTAACAACCCTGTCCTAAAAGCAGAAGAATCACAACTTGTATCGGCCTAGCACTGAAGCAAAATGCATTATCCCTGCAGCACTGGCATTGCTGTTCAGGAATCCAGTGAGTATTTTCACAGAGCGCAGAGCACTGTGTGAGCAAAACAGCTCTGTCAGTACCAAACTCAAAGATTTCTGCCTTTTTTCAGCCTAGATATGTCATTGCATCTTCTTGCCTTTTTCCACCATGTTCCCTCTTTCCTTTCTCCTAGAAAAAAAAGATCCCGCAATGTAATCTCACGTCCTTCAGCAAATTTATTCTACCAACAAGGCTCTATCAGCAGACTTTGGCTGCTTGAAATTACAAAAAAATATAAACACTACAATCAAAATTGAAGGCATTCCCCCCTGCCCCCCTGCAGACTTCACCAGCTCACATTACATGACACCTTCACACATCCTTTTGCTGCCTGTTGTCTCATTTAGGGCAAAAATCTAATCAAGTGGAAGGAGTTGTGACAGGTTGTTTTCAGTTGGAAGTTATCTTGACTTATTCATTAAAATGTAGACCCATTATTGACGGATCTCATGGGTCAGTGGATGCATTATAAGGCATAGTAATACTAGAGCTTCTGCTCTAAGCCCTAGAGAAAAATTACTATTTCAATAAAAATATGTCAGCGAGTGTGTCTGAAGAAAAATGTGAAAATCAAAACTTGAGATGTTATATCACAGTCAATGAACACAACACGTAGTTCAGTTTAAATGGAGCTGCTGTCTCTTTGTAAATGGAGAGGGCACGTAAGCGGATACTGTATTTGTGGAGCTACAATCTCAGAGGAATCTCTGAGGAACACAACATTTCACTATTAACACTGTGTTGATGCTGAACATTTCAAATGACCCAAACCCAAAAGCAATACATAGAAAAGACTTTTTAAAACTTTGTTAGTTTCAATGAAAGGGTTCCCCATTGCAGTGCAAATGATTGATATTATTCCATTTTAGCAGATTTACATAACATTTTGCCAAGAACCCCAGAAGAACAGAAGATTAAATTAACT